GAGAACGCTCTTTATATTGTTCTTCAGTTTGTAAAGGCAAGTCAGATTGATCGTCTGGTTTTTTGTTCCTATTTGTGTGGTGTAGCATATCCAGTATAAGAACCTGAATTTCATTCCACTCTTTAAAGAAGTGCTAGCATTCAGTATCAGTAGTACTAGTAGCAGTTGTTATAATTATTATATGAATTTCACATAGTGAGAAAACATTTGGTAGGGTAAAAGGGAGAAAGGCTATTTTGTGTCCCCTGCATGTCATGAAAATGATTAGTGAAATGCAACTTTTAATGCTCTTCTCTGTTGTTCTTGGATGGATTCAGGCCCAAAAGCTATATTGCTCATTTTGGAATTTATTGCTTCCAGTGCTTAAAGCAATGGAGATATACAGAGAAAAGAAGAAAACAAGGAGGTGCACCATAAGGAAAAGCTTTCCACACAGAACCCAATTCTTCTGCAGGTGTACACGTGCGACCTTTTTCGTGTCATAATCTATGCCCGCAGAGCCTCTGATTCAGAAATTTTTTTTGGCAGCGTAATGTACTGCAGGAAAGGTTTCGCTGCCTTGGCTTACTCACTCGAAATTAGCCCTAGTAAATACTAACTTGGTGTGATTTGTACAGTGCTGACAATGTGTTGCTTGGCTGAGTAACTTGTAAAAAAGACTGCAATAATTAGCTCCTACAAGTTCACATTTTCTCTCAGATTTGAATATATGGATTGTCATTTGCTGCCAGGCTCTGTGTAAGTGTGTCAGTAGTTCCTCACATTGACTTTTGGGTGCATTGAACTGCTCAGGAATCTCTGGTGCCTCCTTCCATTTGCATAGCTATGATGAGCTAAATACAGATGTTCCTACCCATCCTTTTTTATAGTGTTACATAGGAGTGGGGCTGCAGAATCTCCTCATGTTTTCCTCTGAGTCACTGTTTCTGTTCTGCGTCAGCCCTGCTTCATTCTCTAATGTCAGTCAACTTTGTTTCTTCACCCAAAACCATTTAATAGTATTAGGGAGCATTTATTTATGTTTAGGTCATCATACCTTTGGTGTTCCTTTTGAAAGTTTAATCTAAACATTGCTGCCCTTTTTGGTCATTACTTTCTTAGTTCTATTTGTTGACAGTGAAAAATGTATCCTTTTCCTTCTTCATTTTCAATGGAAACAGGAAGCCCAAGCAGAGAATGTCTCTTCTTTTTCTCTCCCCCCCTCAGAATTCCAATGTATTTATCTATTTTCCATCTTCTTTCTCCATGCTATTTTGCAGACATACTGTTACTGAGGTGAATGAGAGGAGTCATGGACAATGACTGTATTATGGCTTATGTGTTAATGTGTTTTTCTTTCTTTACATTTTAATTTTAATGTTGCATTTCTTTTTTGTTTGAAAATAATATATTTTAAAAATGAAAAAAAAAAACCTTACCCTGGAAATGAGATGATTTGGCTGAGAAGGCACAAACAATGGTGGTTGGTGCACCTGAGAATTTTGGTTTTCAGTCCTTCACTTACACAAGCTGGTACTGAGAGACCTTTAATTTATCTTGCCAGCATAGAGAAATAGCCACAAGAACTGCTCTGTAATATCCTTTTAAACAGTGTTTTTCATCCACCTATAATGAAAGGTGTCTGTTTTATGTTGCTGCCCATTCATCATTCCTTGGACACCTGCTGCCTCCGTCAGTTATTTCTTAAATCTGAGTTAACCTTCTCATGTAATCCTGCTCTCCTTTCTTCCTTGCTCAAACCCATTATTCCATAAACCAAGCAGTCCAACATGAGTCCAGTAACCTGGGAGCATACAGTGTTAACATCTATCACTTGTGCGTGCTGTTCCTTGGAGCAGTGGGTTTTCACCACGTCTTTATGAACAGAGGAGCAAAGAACCCAACTCATCTCAACTATTCATTGTGTGCTCAGGGGTTTGCTTTATGTTTTCCCTCCCTGTCTTAGAACTCCACATTGTTCTCTAATTCATTCTGTAGTCAAGAATGGAACAATTAGCCACAAGCTCTCAAGCTCTGGCAGATGATAATTCAAAAAAAAAAATTAACTTTGGCTGATAATGCCTCTCTTTGAATTATGAGCTGGCTGTAAGCCAGGGAATACTCCTATTGTCTCCTGTACAAACAGCCCATCCTTCCTGACTCAAGTGCACCAGAAGTAGTAACATTTTTCATCTTAGAGAATTTTAACCATTGCATTCTTGAGCTTTTCAACTCCTTCGTGCAGTGTTTGTGAATCTCTCTTAGCCAGCTACCATGTAATCCTCAGGGAAAAAACAATTCCTAATTCCTTTGCATTTCAATGTAATTTGGCAGTTGAAGGGGGAGGTGGTAAATTAAGTTTAAAGCATTTAAGTAATCAGCTATATTACAAAATCTTATTGATATAATGACAAAGGTTTTAATTAAAAATGTCAGCCACAAAAAAGTTCCTGTGTAAGCCTCTGCCAGTGATTGCAAATCAGTTTCCATCTGTGCTTTAGTATTGACGCATAGCCAAGTTCCTGTGAAGGGAATATTTCTGTTACTTTTACTGTTAGTACTCTTTCTTGTAATGTTTTCCTAGGCCCCAGTCCTGTACCTTCCCCTGCTCCCCAGCTAGCAGGCTGAGTAACACTTGGGGTAGTTTTGGCAGCAGAGGATTAGAGATTCCAAAAGCTCTGGAATGACATTAGCAATTAGCTGCTGCAAATGTATTTATTTCTGGGGAAAGGAATCTCGGCTTTGCTTCCTAAACACAGTCTGGTTTGCTTACTAATAAGTATTATGAACCACTCCTCTGAGCTTGGATTTGTCAGCTCAGATCTCTGGAAGTCTTTCTGGATGACAGTGCAAATCCGTAGTTCTGCTTGGAAACAAGTGTCATTTCCACAGGGAGCCTAGACAGAATGTTTTTTTCCCCTGAAAAACACTGTGATGAAACCCATGCTACATAAAACCTGGTTTTGATTTGAGGAGGAGGATTAGTGTGTCTGCTTCTCATAATTACTTATCTGTACTGGCACACATATGGAACTGTTTTTCATCCATAAGCAAAAGGATTTCTAGAAAAGTGCTCCACTCCCAGTATAGGGGTGAAAAGCAGAAGCATTACAGAAAAGCAAGAGCCTGGGACTACCTTGTGTGCTTTTCAGCTCTTTGTTGGATAATTGCTGATTCCAATATTGTACTTTTCAAATTCAATCTTAAAATAAAAAAATTAAAACTGCCATTATAGGCAAATGGAAAAATACTCAATACATGGAGTGAATCTCTGAGGCACTAATAATTAAAGGTTGTTGCCAGGGCTTTACACAGTGCTCTGAAAGTTTCATTGATATTTTATTTCATTCTTGATCAGCACGTGGAGTTTGGCCCATGTCAGGACTGATTTGGTGGGCTTCCAGTACAGAAGCCATAGCTTGGTTCAGTACTTATTGTGAAGAGGTTCGTGTAGGATCCAATGAGTGTTTAAATTTACTTTCTTTCTCATACTTCAAATTAACAGTTCCAAGGATTAATTTATAGGACTCAATGGTGACTACTAGAGAAAAAAAAAAAAAAAAAAAAAAAAAGTGGTCAAATTAAGTATAAATGAAAAGGTATTTTGTAGTTACTTGATGAGTCTTGGCATAAGCTTGGCTGCTCTTATTTCTGGCTAATCTAAGCTAACTGGTGATCAGTTTTACCAAGTAGGAAGGAAAAAGAAAAAGCGCAAGGGGGTTACACCTGCCAGGAAGAACCTGCCTGTCATTTGGGAGTGTGTGGGTTGCACAAGTTGTGTGAAAAATGACAACTGCCAAATTTTGAGCAGAATTTGTCCATCTGCGTAATTGTATTGAGGGTTGCCCTCATTCCTGCCAGGGCCAAGCACTGCACAGCTTTTGGTAGCTCAGTGTGAACAAGGCAGGGAAGCACTCTCACACCTAGAAGGAGAACCAAGACACACAAACTGAAGGGATGCAAATCCTTTCTCAGTTCCCAGCTGTGGTGTTTTGGGAATGTCTCCCACACCCTTATTTGGCAAAATCGGCCTGATTAGCCCCTGTCAGCAATCTGGACCCCTTTGTGTTGGTTGTGTTGCAGTTTCGGGTCAGATGTGGAGCTGCCTCAGGAGTGCAGCTCCCAGCAGCAGTGCAGGGCTGTGTCCCCTGTGCTGCCCTCAGGGTCACACTGAGCCCTGTGCTGCCCTCAGGGCCACACTGAGCCCTGTGCTGCCCTCAGGGTCACACTAAGCCCTGTGCTGCCCTCAGGGCCACACTGAGCCCTGTGCTGCCCTCAGGGCCACACTGAGCCCTGTGCTGCCCTCAGGGTCACACTGAGCCCTGTGCTGTGCTCAGGGTCACACTGAGCCCTGTGCTGTGCTCAGGGTCACACTAAGCCCTGTGCTGCCCTCAGGGCCACACTGAGCCCTGTGCTGCCCTCAGGGCCACACTGAGCCCTGTGCTGTTCAGGGTCACACTGAGCCCTGTGCTGCCCTCAGGGCCACACTGAGCCCTGTGCTGTTCAGGGTCACACTGAGCCCTGTGCTGCCCTCAGGGTCACACTAAGCCCTGTGCTGCCCTCAGGGCCACACTGAGCCCTGTGCTGTTCAGGGTCACACTGAGCCCTGTGCTGCCCTCAGGGTCACAATGAGCCCTGTGCTGCCCTCAGGGTCACACTGAGCCCTGTGCTGCCCTCAGGGTCACACTGTCCCCTGTGCTGCCCTCAGGGTCACACTGTCCCCTGTGCTGCTCAGGGTCACACTGAGCCCTGTGCTGTGCTCAGGGTCACACTGAGCCCTGTGCTTCTCAGGGTCACACTGACCCTGTGCTGCTCAGGGTCACACTGAGCCCTGTGCTGTGCTCAGGGTCACACTGAGCCCTGTGCTGTGCTCAGGGTCACACTGAGCCCTGTGCTGTGCTCAGGGTCACACTGAGCCCTGTGCTGCCCTCAGGGTCACACTGAGCCCTGTGCTGCCCTCAGGGTCACACTGAGCCCTGTGCTGTTCAGGGTCACACTGTCCCCTGTGCTGCCCTCAGGGTCACACTGACCCTGCCCGTGGCACAGACCTGCAGTGCTGCTCAGGCAGGGCTGTCCTGGGGCACGGGAGCTTCTCCTGCACACAGACAAGGCCAAGGCAGTGCTCTCAGCTGCTGCTGGCAGCTTCTCCTCTTTCCTCAGACTCCTGCTCTGATGCTGCTTGGTGGTCCCAGGAACCCCCATTTCAGCTCTGTGTTCTCCTGTCCTGTGAGAGTCCTTGATGCCGGGTATCCCTCCCCTCAGAGACACTTTCCAATTGTTTCACAGACCTACTGGGTCCTACTTGTTTCCCAAGTATGCTTCTTATCTTCCTTTTTAGCTCCTGGCAACATCTGCAAATAGGGAAACTTTTGGCACTGTCAGCTAATTGAAATTTCTGTGGGACAAAGTAGCCCCTGCTGACACTTCAGTTTAACTGCTTTACTTTCTATTGGCAACTTTTTGTTGTGTAGATATCCAGACTGTAAGAAATTTACTGCTTTTAGATGGAGCTTTAACTCAGAACTGCTTTAGGAGGGAACAAGTAATGTTGATTGATGATGCTGCTTAACACTTTTTTTGCGCTAATGCTAACAATTTCAAGTCAGAAAATACTTTTCTACTGTATTGCTCACACTTAGCAAATCTCTTTCTCTCCCCCTTACTACAGAACTCAATCAGATACTTCATAAATGTGATCCTTTCCCCTCTGTTCATCCTCCTATCATGAAATCCAGGCTTGTCCTTACTAACAGCTGCTTCATGAAATATGAAAAAATTACTTTGGAAAGCCTCTCTTCCCTTCCTTCCTCAACAGAAAGCCTTTTACATTATTGTTTAAATAGAAGAACAGTTATATTTATTATTAGGAAAAATATTTTCCGTGCAGAACGCCAGGCCCTGCCACTGCCAAAAGAAGGACTATTTGGTATTTTGGAAGGAGTCTTGAGAGAAGGTAAGACTATGGTTTATGATGAGGAAAACAATCAAGTGTATGAAACATTCACTGCTGCAAAGGAGACCTTTGTGATGTTGTTCAAGACTTTCTGGATTGGGATTGCCCCTGCCAGGCTGCAGTGGACCATTGTGATTGACCACTACATTCTGTAATTACTAGCAGGGAGATTACTCCAGGAACACTAAAACAAAGTATAACAATGGCAGTATTTTTAGCCAGGAAAGTTTGTATTACAATAAAGAACAACTAGAATAGGTAACAACAGCAGCCACCTCACAATAGCACGAGCTTGGTACGTTCCAGATGAATGATCCTTCAGTGGCCTTAGCCCTGCCCTTCAGTCACTGGTAAACTGTGCTACCACAGCTGTGCTGCTGCCTTAAATCACACTACCCAGAGGTGTGAGAACTGTGCTAAGGTTTTACTGGGACAGATGTGGAAACTGATTTACCACTGATACTGAAGTGACCTGAATAAAGGGCACACAGAGTGGCCATAGATATCTAGGTGGAAAGGAGAAGTGACAGTATAGAACCTCTGAAATCTGTGAGTGTCTCATCAAAATCTGCTTTGGTAATGCAAAATTTTTAGACTAAAAATAAAATCTATCTCTTTCTTTAAATCCAGGCTGTCTTTATGTACCACCAAGTGACAAAATAGGCCTGATTGTTTTTTCATTTCTATTTTTTAAACCTCCAGCAGTCACCTTTAAGAATCTGACCCTTATTCTTTGTGCTAGGGAGATAATTATTCATTCTCAATTGCTATCCCTAGGACCAGTTAATGAATGCTACATAATGAACAGAAGTAGGGCAACTGGATGAGAACAATGCACAGGTGGGTAAGAAGACTTCATTTGGTGAGAAGATAATGAACATGAGAACTTGTGGTTTGTCTAAATACCACCCTTGCCTCCTCTTCAGATAGCTCCTGCATTGTTACTGCTCTTCCTCAGCCTGTCTTTCTACTTGTTAAGTGACAAGAGGAAGATGGTTACAAAGGAAAGGGTTCCTCAGCAGAGATTCAGCCAGAAGAGGGTCCTATCTCTCTCTCTCTCAATCAGACCCATCCTAAACATGTTTACTCTTATGTGCTCTCCTGTACCTTGCCAAAAGAGGCTCATTCTGCAGAATCATCCCTGCTTTGCAGTGCCTGGTTTTATTATCTCTCTGCAAGACTTGTCCCTTTCTTCCTTAATAAAACTGTACCAAATCTAACTTTTGGAGGAGAAGACAGGATTGATTCTTGATACCTTGATTTCTGATGTTAGTACTGAGAGAAACAGCAGCTGAGCTGGCCCTGCCACTGCAGGGTTTGCCTGTACTGCACAGCTGCACTTTGCAGCCAAGTTTTACTGTGCATCTCAGGAATAGCAATCTCTCCCACTGGAGTTCCATGGCCCATCCACACACCCAGGAAGGTGACACTGCTGTCCAGCTGAGGAGGATCAATGTATAATACAGATAATATTTCCTGTGCCTGACAGCCTCTCCAGAGCTGCAGTTTGAGTCGCAGTGGGTCTGTGTTTTGAAGCCAGCCCTAGCTCAGGATGGGACTGGTGTTCTGTGAAATCAGCAGCAGAGGTAAATGACTCAGGGACAGGAATATTGGAGATGAACACAGAGCCAGGCAATTTGTTCTTTCTGCTCTGGGTTTTGTTAACCTGACTGACAAGAACAGACAGGAAATGGGGTCTGAAGGTCTCTGACTTGTTAAGCAAAGTATTAATTGCTTAGAAATTGCAAAATTTAGTTTAGTAATGTGGTTTCTGATATTCCAAACATGACTTGACCTTTTAAAATGTCCCGTTTGAACTGGAACAAAAATTAGTTGAGCTAGAATTTATCTGAGTGCGTCTTCCTGAGACTGTTTTTAAAATTTCACCTAAACCTGTCAAAGGCATGTTTAATACTCAAAATGGCAGAAGCCATAGCCAGAACAGCTTCCAGCTAGATATGTGGTAGGAACATTATGCACACCATTTGTTAATACAGGCACGTACAGACCAGCAATAATTCCAGAATCTCTGCCAGAAAGCTAATGAGAACATAGTTGGCCATAAACTTTCCTCTGACTTGGGCAAGGGCATATCTAATTCCAGTTGTCTCATGTCCACTAGCTGCAAAATGGAGGTATCAAAGCACCAGTGCCAGAATAAATTAGGATTTCTTGAGGGTTTGCAATGAGAGACTGAGACATGATAATGGAAGAAACCTGCCATGGGCTGTATTTGCATAGGTGTGTGTATGTTTTTCTTGAGCAAACAGGCTGGTTGTGGGTGCCAAAGAGCTCGCCACATGTATGATGGGCTGATGAGGAAACACTCTGTATGTTCCATTCAGAGCATGTTTGAAGGGGGAAAACTGCATGCAAGTATTATCTCCTCTGTAATAGTCCAGGGAAATGTGGAGAAATGGTGTCACACCCACACCCTCAAAGCAGTAAACCTGTCAAAGGCTGCACTCCACAGTGCTCATGGCCCTGTTCATCCCAAACTAGAAGCCTTTTTTCCTTGCATACCATCCTTTAGAATTGCAGTTAATTTTATGTCTCTAAGGATTTAGGAAAATCCTGGTGCTCTCCTGACATGGGATCTCTCAGGCCTTGTCCCATGAAGATAGGGAGCCAAATCAAGAGCTGTTACTCAAGGACTCCCTGAATGGGGAAGACTTTTTCTCCTGCTCTAACCCCCCTTCCCTCCCATGCCCTCTGCTGATAGATGTTAAGATAAACTTTAGAACCTTTGTTTCATCTCCAACAAATCTCCATCAGCATTCAGCACTGCCAGATTCAGTGTTGCAGGGCACAGAAGTGCTTGGTGAAAATCCAAGTGCAGTCCACAGTGATAATCAGCTATTAAAGGCCTCCTCACAGTAAGCCTGCTCTCCTGTGGAGTGTGTTACCCAGGCTTCTCCAGCTCGGTGTGTCACAGCATCTTTGACTGTTTTCTTCATGTTCCAGCTGCAACCTTGCTGATAAGTGAGCTGGAGGTGCTATTTGTATTCCATGTGTAAGCATGTTTGGAGCGTGCTTGACTATTCCTACAGGATACTGGCTTTTAGGGTCTGCATGGACTTAGATGGTTGGAGGCTATAAGCCTTGGATTTATAGGAATTGTTATTGTGTTCTTATCCTCCACTGGTATTGGATTTATATCCACAAAAGTCATTCCCAGAAGGAATGTAACTAGATTTTTCTCCCAGATTTTTAATTTAATTGGTGATTGTTTACATGAGAATGCTTGCCAAAGTGAGATGATTTGGCAGTCCTCTGGAATGTAAAGGTTAAGTATATTGATTTCATCTTTTCCCAAAGGAGCTGTTCTTTTTGTGCAAAAGCATCACTGGTTTTGTTCTTGTGTCTGAAACTTTGTTTACATGGGTTTAATTGAATTCTGGAATACAGATTGTTTGCACTCTTGGTTTGTTAATAAATCCTGACATTCTCTGAGCAGTAATTCTTCAGTGCTTTCAATGCCATAAATACTGAAAATAGGGAAAAATCTGCCCTGCCATTATACACTCAGTTAATAGGAGTTATTTGTAGTGATGGCAGGATCTTAAACCCTTGTCTTAATGTGATCAATACTGTCCTTAGTTTACAAATAAGCATGTCTGAATTGTTCGCTTACAAACAATGTCTACAAATCATAATTATTTTAACATTAGCCACAAGCTTCTGACAGTCTCAGCTTTTGAACTGTACATTCCTGAAGCAAAGTGAATACAAAGCCAGAACTGCTAACTTTGCTTTCAGAAATCACATATTTAATTTATTTCCCACTTATGCAAAAAGTTGGTGGGGTTTTGGATCTGCAGTTTATGAGTAAGCTGTTTGTCACCTCTCTGGAGCTGAACAGCATTTGGAACACCTTGGCTGGAGTGTTCTTTCATCTGCTGTAGTGTGGGTGGGCCTTGATCAGAGCAGCAGGTCTGGATGGATCACTGAGCTGCTGAATAGCCTGCTGAGGAGCTAAATGTCACAGCTCCTTCTGAACTGTGTGCTGGCCCTGCCAATACTGGAGCAAAGGAAACCCCAAAGAGATGATCTGGTAATTGCAGTTGAAATTGGTGCTGTGGATCTATCAATTTCTTTTTTGGTCACATCTTCTATTGACATTTGTTTTCCACTTTTTTAAAATCCATCAACAATTTTTCCTCAGTGATCCAGGTCCAGACAAATTGATTAATTTCATAGAGCAGAGGTATCCCAGCTGAATTCTAGTTCTGCATTAATAATAATAATAATAATAATAATAATAATAATAATAATAATAATAATAATAGTGATTTATCTCCCGTGGGTCTGTTCTGCTGGTCTAAGTTGGAAAGAAGATAATTATGAAGCAGGTGCCCATCCCTGGGCTTCTGATCGTTCTCCTGCAGATCAGATTTCAGTCTGATGGTTCAGAGTCAAAATTATTCTTACTGTAAAGTGCAGTTTGGATGGAGATAAATCAGAAGCAATTGTGATCCTTGTAAACTTAAATTAAAAATTCCTCTACTTCTCCTAGCAAAATGCTTCTTTCTGACATACCTCCCCAGCCAGGGACCCAGTGTTAACAAATGAAACTTCTCTGGAGATAGTTCTCATTCCTTCTTATCTTGTCAAAGTTGGCAATAGATTTCCTGATATTTTGTTTTTCTTCTCCGTCATTCCTGCAAGACTCAGTCTTAACTCAAGAATTTTGTTTGATCCCTACAGATCTTTAGGAAATTAATTTCAAATACTTGATGTTCCAAATACTTTTTGACGCTTTAGGGTATATTGCTGGAGATACTTTTGTTAGTTTAAAAAGCCAAGACCCAGCAGCTGCAAGAATTTATGCCCATTATGGAAAATCCAGCATGCTTTCTTTGCTATGGCAATACCAAAAGTCTGCTGGCACACCCGACTAAAGTACTTATAACCATATAAAGGGAATGCCTTTTAGGAATTGGATAAAAACACAGACATAATATTTTCCATCAATTAGATGTTGAGAAGTCCCAGACATACAATGCTGCAAGTGAAATTAGATGCCTTGGGAAACCTATTCCAAATGGAAATTTAATATGTGGGATCCTGACTCAGTCACCACTCCCTCAGTTTTCTACCCTCCCAAAATATATTTGGATATGCTAGTAATGTAAATATAGCAACATTACACCCAGTAAATACGCACAGATTGGATCATGCGAGCTGCACTAAATGCAGCTATAGACAAACCACAAAGTTGCCTATAAAGTATTTTAACAACTTGCCAATAATGCACATTTGCCGAGTTTCCTATGTTACTGCAGATGTGCAGTGCTACTATTTGTGGAATCCTTTCAGCAAACTGTGTATTATTTATAAATGGAAAATGAGGGAGTTTATGGTAGGCCTTCTGTCATAGTTGTTTGGCACATGGGAATTATAAATAGGACAGGGTAATCACTGATGTGCTTTGCATTTGGCACTGTGGTCATTTCTGACCCAAAGAGAAGCTACAGGAGATAAATATATGAAGGTGCCTACCAGCTATTTTTTGTGTGTTAAAGTATATTTTCTGCTTCACTCCCCGCTTAAGCTGCAAGCTGAATGGAGTATTTTGTTTTACATAGTTCTTTAACTGCTCCCACAGCATGGTTCTTCTCAAAACAGTTTGCCCCTAAGTGTTTGGGGCAGTTCTCTATTAGAGGAGTGAAATCAGCCCATCATTATCAGTGCCACTTGCCAAAGGTGTTTGAGAGCCATCCTGCAGGATGTGCAGGTGAAGAACTGAACACCCAGAGTTGTTGGGCTGGGCTGATGCATTTTGGATGAAATCTGAAATAAATGCTCCTGAGTGCACAATGAAGTCTTCTGCAAATCACGTGCAAGAGGAAATGTTTTCTGAACTCTGTGGAAAGCCTGCAGGCCTGGTCTGCAGAAACACCAGGAACAACACAGCACCCTTTGCTTCCTCCTGGCCTACTGAAGGTGGGAAAGAATTGCTGATGTTACTGGTGGAGCCATTATTCTCTTCGGCAACTCCAAGTGCAACATTTTTGTTTTCTTCTCACATCTACTTCATTCAATTTGCAAGTAGTTTTGGATATTTTTTAAAACTTTTTAAACACAATCTGTGATCTAGTTGTATCCAGTTCTGCCTCTTCTTTGACTTTTTTCAATGATAGCTGCTTTCCTCATTTGAATTTTGTTGGCAGCTGTATTGATTGATGTTCCTGGTAGAATAGGATCCAGCTGTCTTCACTTAAGAGCATTGCAATGCAGGACAAACACTTTAGGCTGTGTCATCCATGTAAACAGTCTGTGCTTCTAAAGCTACATAAATCCATCCAGAAAATGACAATCCATGCTTGGCTTTTGCTGTGCTACAATGTGGACAGAACATGGCTCTGGGTTTTTTGCCTAAATCATTGCAATCAGCTAGCAAGGTGATATGCCAGGCAGCGCTTTAATGAAGTATCATCAAGGAGCCAAATAAACATCAAGGTTGCCAAATAAACAGCTTTTGAGGCGTATGCATATCGTTATTGTGGGAAATGTTTCTACTAGTGTATTAGATAATAGGTGCAATTTGAAAAAAGAACACGCAGTCCTGTTCCTCTCCACCCCTTGTGCACCCTTTGGGTGTGGGCATAAAATATTGAAATGTGTAGCTCAGCAAATTTTTGGTTCATCTGGCTAAAAAGAAGTTGCAAAGCAGCATAGATTTTCTTTTGCTTTCCATCTAGATCTGATGTAGCAACCCAGTAGATTCTTTTTCTTAAGTGGGCTTTTTTTTCCCTCTTCCTTCTTCATATTTTGACACTGCACTTATGGGTAGTGCACCTTTGTGACCTTGTAACTGCTAAGCCTTTTGCATGAAGCTGTTTTTGCAGATGCAGAGAACAAAGGAAATTACCACCTTCCAGGTGTGCACATGAAAGCGCAGGTCAGGTATATAAACAGTGTTGTTAGCTGAGGAATAGAGTGCTTACTCAGTGGGAGCCCATTTATCCATGTTCTGATGGGGTTTATTAATTATTAGTACATGGCAGTTTAATCTGTAAGTTTGGGGCTCCCAGAGGTGAAAGGCTCTTGCTTTGTGGTCATTTCCTGAGCCTGCACCAGGTCTGTACCACTTCACAGCAGAGTTTCTACTTCGTGCCTCCACTGGCTCATCAGCTATTCCTGGTGGAGCTGATTTCTTTTCATTTCTGTAAAGGTGTTGCCAGCACTTTTCTATAGGGAGGTCAGCTAGGAGAATGACCAGGAGAGCTTAAAATTCCCTATGATGAGTGAAAAAAGCACTCTAAATGGCTCAGTCTTTTAAAAAATCCTCTATAATGAAATATTCTCAAGCCAGAGAAATGCATATACAGGAGGAGTGCAACAGCTTGCTCTTTATCACTAAAAACTGCAAGCTTCAACATTGCTTTTGTTAAACATGGATTTTTTATCTTCCTATCCAATCACCCCCTACCACCAGGCTTTAAAATTCTTTTTTCTCTGGTCAGAAAGCTGGTTCAGATGCCATACCTGTGGTTTCCCTCATATTCTGGATCTTTTCATAGAACTTGGTTTCCATAGTAAATGCTTTTCAAAAATCATATGGTTCAATAAAAGTACTCTGCAGTTCTTTATTTTATAAAGGAGTGCTCTCATTAACTCACTGTTGAATAACTCTTATAACCTCAGATCTGTTTGAATTCTACTCCAAATGTTCCATTACAGGCCATCTGACACCTCATGAAACACATTATAAGCTCCATTGCTAAGTTTCTGATCTTAAGTCTTAGTCCTCAAACTATTTTATCATACTGACATTTGAACAAAATATGCTGAGACAGCAAATGAGGATCCATATTTAGCCATGAAGAAACCAGGAGAAAGGATTGGTTGGTATTTACTGTTCAAAAAATCAATACTTTCCAAACTTCCTAGAGTGATGCTATGAGAAGCCTTTGTATTCTTTGTGTTACCGCTTTTAATTTTGTTTTGTCAAGACAGCACCTCGTTTATTTTGGGAATTAGAGAGGGGAGGATGGTGCACCACAGTTGTTCAGGGGGCCCTGCTGAACCTGAACACAAGCCATGCCACTGACAGCACGGGGTTGGTTTCACAGATGTGGGGGAGAACTCCCCTAAGCCAGCAGCTCCAGTTTAGAAACAGCAACTCAGCCAGAGACCTGATGAAATCAGGGAGTTGGTGGCAGTCCTGCCCCTCATTTCTGCATGTGCCTTTTGAGCATCACTTCCCTGCAAGCCCCAGCTGCAAATGCAGCTCTCAGAGGGATGCAGCTGAGGTGCACGTGCAGGAGTGCTGTGCACACAGAGTGGAATCACATCCTGCAGCGCTGGCTGGTGCCAGTGGGGAAAGCACAGCACAGTGCTCCCACCAATCCCCTTTGGCAAAGCTCAGGGTTGCCATAAAGCAATAACAGTATTCATGCTAATATTGATTTGTCCTAGTGATAAGGGAAAAATAATTACCCAGAAGTAAACTAATCATATCCTTTAAAAAGGCAAGGTACTGCTTTCAGATGTGACCTAGTTGTGTTTGGCTTGGGTTTTTATAAGAGCACTGTGAGCACCAAGACACTGTAGTGTTGCTGTTGCCTGATCCTTGCTCTTGTGAGCCCTCTGTACTCCAGCAGTTCTTCAAAAACTGCTTTTGCCAGTCCTTGCCTATTGATTACTTTATTTTCATCAGTTGGGAGAATAATTAGGCCTATTTCTAGTGAGATTTTTCACCTGGTTTAGCAGAGCGAGAAGCATACAGGCATTCTGCTACTCATGCTACTGGTGTCTTTTAAGTTTGTTTTTATGTCTTGTTGCATTTTGGATCACATCAGTAATCTGTCACATCTCCAGCAAGAAGTATACGAAATGTGGCAGAACATTATTTCACAATTTTGGGTGATCGTATCCTACTCAGTATTATGGCACATAAAAAAAATCACCAAGAAATTACCATAGTATTGGTAGGATTAACTAATGTCAAGCTGGTGCTTCCTTAAGTTGTCCTTCTATTTTCATGAGAAAACAAATGTGCAAAGCACCTAAATGGCTGGCTGGGAAATAACTTGAATCAGCAGTGCAAGTAGAGAAAACAAGTATCTGAGCCTTTAAAGAAGGAGAAATGTCTGTGACAATATGTAATTATATGGTTGTGTGATCATCAGAGATCACAAAGCATTGGTGATGCACCTCTAAAGTCATAGGTTTTGGTACAGCAGGAGGAAACACATTCTGATTTTCTGCTGACAAAGACAGCATCTTTTTCACTTAAGAAAAGGGCAGGCCTGTCTATCATCACCATGCTGGCTGCAGTCCCCATGTGAACCCCAACTGCCTCCTCTTTCATACAGACCACTTATCCTGCATGGATTTTTGGGTGCAAGTATGAGAATTAGTTCTTGTGTCAGGGAAACTGGGTTGTCTTCTTTTTGTTTGTTTGTTTGTGGCTTTTTTTGTTGTTTTTTTAATCTTAAGTAGGCTTTATAAATTTTTCCTTTCAATTTCATCATATAAAAATTCAGTGTATTTTTTCCTTCTTAGTACTGTTAAATGTTTTGCAGGCTTAATTTAAACATAATGACTGCCTGAATACATTTGTTTTCTTATTTGGTTGACAAAACCAATGAAGCATTTACATTGCAAGGCCTTGGCACGTTTTCAGTTTGGGATCACTAGACAGCTAAAGAGGAAGGGCTAAAGTCTGTGAAGGTGAAAATAATGCACTTATTTTCCCCTTATGAAACTGCACATATTGCTCCTTGCAGAGTACCAGCCCTGCATGCAAAAGTCTAGCATGGAATAAATGCTTTTGTGTAGCTTTGAATGCTGTATGGCATGACCAACATTTATACAGATGAAGCAAGAAAGACAAGATTGGGAAGAAATAAGTAAAGTGCCCAGAGCTTTGGAATGGTGTGTTTTCCCTGTCCTGGGTCAATGCACATCTGGAAGCCTCCTGTGGGTCCATGGGCCCCCTCGGGCTGGTGGCAGCTGATCCTGCCTTCTGAGCAAAGGGGCATTAAGAAGAGGAGGCATTGAGACCCCAGGAGTGGTTACTCCTCCCTTCCATTAACATCCTCCTCAGAGATCCTTAGGGGTCTCTAGAGAATAGGGCATTGTGCAATTTCTCTCCTTTTCAGAGGGGGCTCCAAGCCCTTGGCTGTGTAAATGGGCAAAGATACCGAGGATCCAGAATTACCTCAGTTTTTCCTTCTTTGTGTTGGAGAAAATATTCCCAGCTCCAGAATCAAATACAATAGAATAGAGTGGCCCTGCCAGCAGGGTTTGGTGACCCTTGCTGTGGGATCTACAGCATTTTGTGGGACGTTGGCAGACCCACCACAGGCACCCACACATTCCCAGGCAGCTGCCTGCACTTGCTGCTTGTGTCCCTTCTGTCCTGGCTATTGCTGAGCATTCCTGGGCACTCCTGTCGTGCCCTTGACTTGGAGTCAGAGCTTTCAGGTTCTGTTAGCTCCAGCTTCCATTTGCTACTTGTCCCTGTTTCCCTTCTGTACTGAATGGAAATGCAGCAGATGCAGCACAGATACTGAGGAGAGTCAAGAAGCTGTCACAGGGAATACTGCATTTTCTCATTCCCTCAAAACTGAGGCTCAGAAAGAGTTGTCTGGTGTTTCATGTTGTTCAGAAATATGCTAGAGGAAAATGTAATCCCTAAGTAATTGCTTCTATCAGAATACCCTTTGATTTTTACCATATGTCTCTCCTCTATGATTTTTCAAAATTATTCAGCAGAAGGTTGTGGAGAAAAATGAAGATGATTTATGAGTAACAATAGTTTAAATCCTCTCTATTTTTCACATTGAGGTAGTTTGCCACACCTTATCTCTTTCACATTGGTACTTCCCCTCCTGATACCAATTTCTGTTAATTTTGTATCATATTAACTATCTTCAGCAGCGCTTCAGAAGCTTCCTCCCTCTGCATTTTGATGCAGATCTCATCAATATCTCTGAACTTCAGTTCTTTTTCACCTCCTTTTGGAGTGTTCTTCTGTTAGAAGTGATCCAGCTTCCATTTATCTCTTAATTTGTTAAAAAACATTGCCATCCATTCACTGAGCACATTGCAGCCATTTAGTCACATGCCCAGAGGCTCCTTCCACCCCTCACCTGCCTGTCCTCAGCACTGGCAGGCTGGCACTTGGATCAGTCAGCTGGAGAGCTGCTTCTGGCTGCTGTAGTTCTGGTCAATAAGAGAAACTTAACATACCTTGATCTTGTACACCCTTTTTTTGTCTTTCACTTTTTTTAAAATTTCCTTCCTACTTCTGTGAGTAGTTCTTTTCTTGAGCTTTTCAATTTTTGGCAGGTATTTCATTTTTTACTGTTTTACACCCTGGCTCACACATGTCTCAGTTTTACCTCACCTGTTGCAGATATTTCAGAACACCCGGTTATTTGTATGGAGTCTGTAGAAGAACAGTGCCCTGACATACTGGATGGAGGCTGTGCATCCAGAAGTGTGAGAGTGGCCCCTTGGGTTTTAGCAGGGCAGCTCAGATGGGTGCTGCAGGCTGTACCATACCTGCAGTTATCATGCAGCTTCTGGTGGATTGTGTAATTGAAGCAGTTTGCTGAACAAATGTAAAGTATAAAAGCTGTGATGATGGACTTGAACTGAAAATGCAGATCAATTTCAGTGGTTCATGCTAGAGAGCAGATAAATTACTCTTAAAATAACAAAAGCACTGGTTTGTAGAAACAGACCCCAAAAATGTCAGTAAAGACTTTTTTAATTACTTTCAGAAGTCAGTTAAAAAACCCCAAATGTTTTGTCCTTTAGGTAAAAATTGATAGAATCATTAAAAGCATTGTTGAATTATTGGACACTTAAGAACTCAAACAATGCAGTACTGAAATTGAAGTGTCTCTGCTAATTGTAGTTTGTAGAGTACATGCTTGCAATACATGGGTTTTGGAGTGAAGAAGTTTGTGTATGTCTTAGAACCTGACCAGAGAAGTGTGCTGGAGAACAGCTGCCCTGTGCTAGAGGCACCTCCCCAGCTACAGCAGCCCTAAAGTCAAGATTAACAGCTCTTCAATTAGCCTTGATTCTATTAGAAATGTCCCTCATATTTCATGCTCTGGAAGGGGATATGGGAACGAATATCATAATGTTTCCCTGTTCTTTGACAAGCCTTTCAGTAGCCCTGTCAAAGATACTTTAAAATGGAATTGAAATAATCAGGAATGATGTGCCTGTGTAAAAAAATGCTTGGCACTTTCTTTTCTAAGATGGGTGTATGGTAATAAGGTTTAAATTATGAGTTTAAAATTATTCTTATCAAGCAAGTGCTGATCAAATTACTAAAACAGAAAATGAGAAGGTTTCTAAATCCTTCCCGTTTTGCTTTCTAAATAGGATTAAAAAAATACTGTCATGAGTTAAATTAATACAATTGCAGATTATAAAACCCAATTTTAGATGAAGCAATAGATGATTCTCTATTGGTGTTCTGTTCTATGTGCTTTTCTTTGTAATCAAATTTATCAGCTTAGAATACTGCACTCCCCTTTCCAAAGTGAAAGATAGTTCTGTGCAGGTGTTCTCTTAACTTGGTGATCATTAGCAAAACAGTGCTCTCAAATAATTACCTTCCTTTGTAAGTGAATCATCTTATTATTTTGCTTCTATTAAAGTCTGGTATCTTTCAACAGTGTCACGTTATCATGTCTAATAATCAGAATTATGCAAAGGAATTATCTGTATGGATTTCATGCCCAGGAACTGTATCATCGTTTATTTACCACTCTAAGTAGGTATGCAGTGTTTTGTTTGTTTGAAGTACAGTAGTTGAAGGTGTATTGACTTTTGAAAATAGATCATTAAGATTTGTGTTTTCTTTAAAGTTGAAGCCTTAAAAGCCATAATCAGCTGCCATTTATTTTTTTACTAATTGTATCAGAAGTAATGAATTTTCTTTGGTAATTTCAAGAATGTAATGGTGCTGTGGAGGAAGACATCAGGAGTGAGAGCTGCTGAAGTGGCTTTAAAGTTTGAAGAAGTGAGAAATGAGAGAAATTAGCAATGATCTATTAGTACATGAGCAGAGAATATGTTTGACTTGCCAAAGTTTCTGTTCTGGAGCTCAGTATTAATCTGAGGTGGAACTGGAGAAAATGCTAAACACAGTATTTATCCCCTCTCTGTTAAGCATTGTGCTGGAAAAGAAATGGTCAGACAGGCTTAGAAGCCCATATAACTGTGGCCTGAAGACTTAATTCTGGAGAGAGTCCTAACACGGAATTTTAGTTGTCCTAGAAAGCATGTCTGCTTCTAAGCTTGCATTTTGCGTTGGGACATAGAAAAGGTACAAGATCTATAGTGCAAAGCTGTATAAATAATGTATATGCTCACAGGAGCAGGAAATATGCTGCTGATCAGACAATGTCAGCTTAGATGAATCCTGTCCTGAAAGCTGTACTTTAAATGTAAGCAGTAAACTCACTATTGACATGTGGCACTACCAACTGAAACATCAATAGTTATAAAAAGAGTATTTCATAATGCAGAATCATTGCTTGGTTTGCTTGGCTGGACAGATGCTTCTACTTTCCATGAAAGAAAAATAATTTCTATATCAGTTCTCTGAGTGCCCAGCACATCTTATCTGTCCCACTAATGCTCACATTTTTAATCACATTGTTGAAAATGGGCAAAATTTGCTTGCTGGTCTCACAGAATGTAAGACGGAGGTTTGAGTGTCACTGGGCATGACATGGAGCAATTGAAATGTTGACATTTTTACAGCTGGTCTCAGGTTACTTCTGCTCAATCTGGGACTGGGTGCAACACAAATTCCTTCTGTGGAACATCCTCATCCCATATGTGAGACTGCTTCAATTGTTCTCTGGCTACTTGACTTAGACATCATTTCCAGAGTTTATGGGCAGAAAGCACAACTTTGGCTGGCTGTAGATTAACATTTCTCTGGTTATTATTAAGAATAGCTGAAGCATTCCATTTGTTCAACAGATTGAGAGCATTGCCATAAGCAGCAAGGGAAGAAAAGAGGCTGAAGTGCTGTGAATGCCCATGGCACATGGAGTGGCAGAGGATCCACTGGGATATGCCCATATCATCTTGATTATTGCACTATATCAGAAAAAGGCCAGGAAACTCCAGGGTTCCTCTTGGAGCTGCATCTGGCCAGACACATTTGTGCGGAAACCTTGGCTATCCCTGATGATGCAAAAGAGGGAAAAAAGGGAAGCCCAGGGATTAAAAAAATGGCAAAAACCTGTTACTTATCCATGGTATGTAACTGTCTAATGATCTAAAGCCAGTCATCAATTTGCTGGGGGTAGTAAATGCTCCAGGCTGGTCTTGGGCATCCCTGTGGGCATTGCAATTCTTCTGTGAATGGCCGTATGCACAAAAGTTTGGGAAATGGACCTAACACTTTGTGAAACCCAGTTGTTACCCATAAAACTGAATAAAAACTCTATAGACCAAAGGCTTTTCAGGGAAGTGAGAACTTTTCTAATACTGCTAAGGTATTTTTCAGAAAGGGACCAAAGCACTTGGAGGTTCTGTCTACTCTCAGCAGGTCTCTTGAAGGCCCCAGCACCTGTCCAGCTGACAGATCTCTGCATCCAGGCATCTGCTCTCATCTGGAATTCAATTATGAGTTAAATTATGAGTTAAAATGGTTAGGCTTAAGATGCTAGATGTTGGTAACTGAGCAGCTTTGCCCACTCTGTCTCTGTGCTACAGAAGCTTACACCAAGGTGATAAGGAGCAAAAGGAATCAGGGAGATTCTAAACTACGCTGAAGATGTTCCACTACAACCAGCATGATTCTCTCTCAGTTGATTTATAGGAAAAGGTGGTTCTTTGGAGAGCCTGTCTATTCTGTGGCAAGGATCCTTAAACAAGGCTCTAGTAATTACTTCTTTGAGGATAATTAGTATCTTGCTGTTCTTTGTGCTGCTGCCAATCAGCAGTTGGTTTATACCCTGTCTATTGACTTTTCCCCACCTAAAGGGATATACAGAACAATACATAGCTGCAGTTTTTGGAAGCAACACTGGCCAAATAACCTGGTAAGATTATGCGTGATAAAGAGAGCTCTAACAGCTTTCAAACAATTCCTGCTTTTTGGCAACATTAATGTCAGGGTGCTGCAGGAAGATTTGATCCTTCAAAACTGTATCAATGAGAATCTT